ATCAGGCCGGACAATCTATCAGGAGATGAGTGGTGGTTTCGAAACCTTGAGGGGAGCGTCGAGACAGGGCGTGATTATTTCTGATTTTTTTCCATTTGTGTTGTCCCCCGGCTAATAATTGTTCGCGCGGGTATATCTGACAGTACTGGGGTCAGACGAGGGCACTTTGCAACAATCCCTGCAACTGCGTATGCGTACACATTTTAAAATGTGCATTTACTTGTCAGGCACGGCACTAGTGCATCGCTGTCTCATAAAGTTGCAAAAGTATTCTGCAAAATATGCACAATAGAGTAATTCATGTTTCCATGTCGGGACACTTCCGTCATAAAAACTAATAAACTGCATCGCGCGCCGCGAGGCCTTGTGAAGGGCGAGGGATCACCGTCAAAATGAAAGGAATCCAAGATGTCTTCATTATCCCGAGATCGTGATTCGAATTCATACCCGGTACGTCAAAGCATGGTTTCCAAGCTACCAGGGACGTAGTGTCGCCCCCAGGCGAGTGTGAAATGTCGCCTCCAGGTGAGGACGTAAAGTCACCTCCAGGTAAGGCCGTAGTGTCGCCCCCGGGCAAGGGTGTAATGTCGCCTCAAGGTGGAGACGTAATGTCGCCTCCAGGTGAGACCATAGTGTCGCCCACAGGCGAAGGTGCAGTGTCACCCCCAGGTGAGGGCGCATTGTCGCCCCAGGGTGCCCCTGATCCGACAGCTTGCAGCTGGGTTCCTCAACTTAAAGAAGAGTCCTCTCAGTCCAAGATGTCATGATCGTTAAACAAATTATTGTCAATATAAAGCACACAATATGGAAAACCGATGTTCACGCGGGATCATTTCTCATTTCTGTTTCTGATCTATGTAAGAGGTCAGATGAGGATGACGGGATGCTGACCGCGGCCCCGTTCACGGAATGCCAACGGACGGGGTGCTGACCGCGGCCCCCTTCGCGGGATGCCAGCGAACGGGGTGCTGACCACGGCACAGCTCCGACCGTTGACGGCCCCGTTCGTGGGCTTTCAGCAGCAATGGAAGCAAGAGTTTCACAGATACCTGCTCTGTACGGGAAGGTGAGCCGCGTCACCAGCCGACCCAAGCTCGTCACCACTGATATCGACAACAGTCTCAGTGCCAACCAGGAATCGATGGTAGCCTGGAGGCTTTCCTGTTCCTGGAGAAGGCCAAATTCGTTGATCTGTTCGTCGGACAGCTCACGTCCCAGCTGCGGTGCACAAGGTGCGCCCACCCGTCCGCGATGTCCGACCCGTCCTCGGACCTGACCCTGCCGACCACGCCCAAGACGGCCTAGACGCGATTGCAAGTATGATCCGACGTCCTCGCCAACCTGCCGTTGGCGAAGACGTCGACCGTTGGACAATCAACAAGACAATCAACCGTTGGACGGAGGCGAAAACCTGATGAGCGGTACTCGGCGTTGAAGGGCGCATCGACGTAAAACCATTTTGAAAGCCGACCTGCTCAACGTGTCCAATACTGTAGAAGTACTCCGAGGGCTCCCTGATCCGGAAATCCCCGCGCACCCTCGTGGCGCGCCCTGCGCGACTCCCGCCGCAGCAGCGGCTCAGAGACAAGCTCAGCACCATTGCACGGGATGCCCCACCAGCGCCTTGGACCTTTTGCTGTACTCCTCTGGACGGAGAGCATGTGAGTAGTCTGCGCGGCGTGGCCACATCCGCGTTCGGGGGACTGGTACGAGAAGTCCAGAATTTGGCCCAGAGCTATGGTCCAACATCAACAGTTGCCAAGTGGACGTGTTTTTCGAGCTGGACGTCGGTGCTTTGATAGCTTCGAGGGGGTTATCCCCTCTATAGTCCCGTCGGCTGATGTCACAGGCCCCATCCTGGGAGAGCCTGTGCGAAATGCGCGAGGACATGCTCGTCTGCCAATCATGTGCATAATGAATCTTGAACAACGCGTGAATGTGCCGATAATTGGCAGGTGTGCGTGCAGTGTTGTCATCCTTAAAACATCCCAAATGCAATCTGATTTTTTTGGCGTGAGTCAAAATAAACTGGTTCATTGGTTAACACGCGCAAGGGTGGCCGATTGGATACCCTTCGCTCGGGTGGGGTCAGTTTGAACCCCCTGAGATTTCAGAAACTAAAAGAGCTTGAAACAACAAATTCACGGGGTGTGTTGACGTGTAAGTGAACCAACTTAGGTCAGTTTTAGATTCTTAGGCCACGACCTTCGGGTTAAATATGGTCAAACAAGGTCGCATTCCCGGTTGGCCTCCAAAGGGCCTTAGAACCTAAATAACTGTTCTAAGCAAAAAGGCACATGTTCATCTAAGGTCAGCGACCTCGTTTGACCTAACGAAGGTCATGGTGACCAAAATCATACAAGACCGCTTTGAGTGTTGCATTTGGATAAACGACAAAGGTTACGCTAGGTGTTATGTTCCCAAAAACAAAATATTGACCTGGGTCATTTTGGGTCAGCGACCTATCCTGACCTTTAATAAGTCTTTTGAAGGGATATAATGCGGTTCCCGTTACCAGTAAATTTGAAATGAGCGCCAGAAACTACTTCATACAGGAAGCCCCAGAGTAATAAAACAGGTTGGCATTGACCTTGGTCTGACCTTCATGCATGACCTTAGGTCACTGCAATTTGTTCATTCATTTGTTGTGTTGCCTGAGAAAGTGTCTCAGAGATGTATGGCTTCGTCTGACACTCCGTTGTTGGAACATATTGAACTATTCCCTATAAATTGCCTTCTCTGAATCCATGACCTGACTTTGGCCTGCCGTAGGTCATCGACCTTACAAGGTACGTCATTGGTTTATACCAGACGATTTGCTTTTCAATTGCCTACAGCTATGCAAAATTTGGCGCGGCGACGCCACACCGTTCGAACACAATGCCGGAAAGATTTTCGGGGGGCCAATTTGGCCCCCACCCTCAACCGCGCGCGTTAACACGCGCCCGGGTGGCCGGTTGGATACACTTCGCTCGGGAGGGGATCATTTGACTCCCTTCCCTGAGATCTCAGAAACTAAGAGAGCTAGAGACAACAAATTTACAGGTGTGTTCACCCGAGCGTGAACTCACTTATGTCGAACTTTGGGTGTCTAGGTCACAATCTTCGGGTCAAATAAGGTCAAACGAGGTCAAACTCCATATTGTTGTCCAAAGTGGCTCAGAGCCTAGATACCTGTTCTAAGCAAAATATCACTGATGCTCATTTAAGGTCAGTGTTTGACCTTTTGGAGGTCATGGTGACCAAAATACTACAAGACTGCTCAGAGTTTTGAGTTTGAATACGCATCAAAGGTTACGCCCGCAGTATATTCCTAAAACCGAAGGGTTGAACCGGGTCATTTCAGGTTAGTGATCTATACTGACCTATAGAAAGTCTGTGGAAGACGTATAATGAGGTCCCTGTTATCAATAAACTTGGAAACGAGTACCAAAAACTATCACATGCAGCAAGCTCTAGAGCAATAAAACAGGTTGCCTTTGACCTAGGTCCGGCCTCCACACCCGACCCTCGGTCAGTGGAATTTGTTCCCTCAATTGTTGTGTTGCTTAGGAAATTACTTCGGAGATATATGGCTTTACTCCACACCCCGTTGTTATATCAGATTGAACGTTTCCTCAGAAGTCGTCTTCGCTAAATTTATTGCCTGGCTGACCTGCCGTAGGTCAGCGACCTTACGAGGTACATCAGCTTTTTGATACTAAACGATCCGCTATTCAAATGTCTACATCTATGCAAAATGTGGCGCGGCTACGCCGCGCAGTTCGGAAACCATTCCGGGAAAACCACTGGGGGGGGGGGGGGGGAATTGACCCCCGAGCGCGTGTTAAAAAAATAATGCCAACTCACTTTCTAATGACAAGTCATTAACGAAGCCTGCGTGCGTGAATATATATATGCTCAGGCCAACGTAGGTTACCAGAAATTCCTCACGCGTTCCGCTACTCTCGTTTCGCAAAATGTCGTTTACGCAGTGCAGGTTGACCACGGAAAGTATCAGTCCAAAAAAACATGCAGCCCGACTATACCTCAGCTTGTTTGCGCAACGGCACTGCGTCCAAAGACCTGGTGGAACGCTTTCATGGCTCATTTCACCATGAATCCGTAACCTTACAATCCCGTAACGTCTAATTTCAAACGTCAGTCAAGTCTCTTCGTCAGCCGTGTTCAGGCCCCACTGACCACTGCTTGATAATACCGTACCATCGATTCAGTCCCCTCAATGTACAAATGGCGAACAGTGGATGTATTAGTGACGAGCGATCGACGACACCACGGGGATGCACACAACCGTGGGTGACTTTAAACCCAACTGCACACCAGTGACAGCCATCAACAAACACAGCATCACACGACCGAGGCGCCTCGGCGCCGCTGCCGACCAGCGGCTTCATTGGTCGGCGACCGGGCAGGTACGGACGACATATCTGTGCTCGTACGACCCGGCAGCCGCCGATGCCAGTGCCCACATGCTGAGAACAGACACCCGACTTCTGCGCGAGACCAGGAGACCGGCAGACCAGGACCAGGAGACGGGCGGGGACGACTGAGACTGGGACCCAGCTGCCGGTAAGAGATTGCTCGCCCACCGGGAGCCAGACCACCGATTATGGGACGGACAGGGGGACTAACTGGGCGCGCTCAGCATAGCAGGAGGCCCGGCGAGCTGATAATGAGGCTTCGTACTGAACACAATCAGTACGCCAAACGTGTTCAGCTCATGCTGTGGCAGTGACACGGCGCACGCATCCACTTTGCAACCAACCAAAGTGCTTCGTGAACGAAACTTTCCTTCCTGCCGTCATTAGGAAGAGGTTGTCTGCCGGCAAGTGTGTAGCTCGGACTAGCCGCCGCCCCCCCCCCCCCCCCCCGCGGGGATAACGTGCTTCTGACGATCAGACGTGGTCCACTAGCGGTCCCAGCCCCCCGGGGTGCATGCTCCCGCCGACCAGACGTGGTCCGCAAGCAGTCCTAGCCCCTCCCCCCCCCCCTCCCCCCAGGGCACGTGCTACCGCCGGCCAGACGTGGTCCGCGAGCAGCCCGGACAAACGTGCAGCGTCTCGTGGATGAACAGGTCGCAATCGACGCAGAACAATTCGGCGCACTTCTCGCACTTGGATATCTGAAACGGCAGATGGCGAAACGAACGTTAGTGGATGCAAAGGCAGCGCCAGCGCACGCGAGATAACTCAACGGGGAAAACGACGGACGTCAGACAAACATCCCCTCTGCCGGCTAGTGATAGCATGCGAATCATACTCGCTAAACTTTAACTCATAACATGGCAATCAAATGTCGCACTGTGCTGCACACATTCAGACCGTCAGCTAGCTTTAGTGATCAGGCACAACACGCAACGACATCTATCGGCCACACCGTCCCCGTCTAGTTAGCTCACCAGTCGCTGCGTGTCGAGCCGGGCGCGGCAGGCGGCGCAGTACTGTGGCGGGCCTCCGGGCGCCTGCTCCACCTCGACGAAAGGCTCCAGCGGGAACAGGTGGTGGTAGCTGCGTGCCAGGTGCGGCGCCGACATCAGCGTCAGGCCGCACGTGGCGCAGTCGACTGGCAGCTCGCAGTGCTTGCTGAAGCACTGCGGGCAGAGGTAGCCGCCCCGGTCCGGCCCGTCCGCCACCGCCGGCGTGTTCAGGTGGCTGCCGGCGCGGCAGCAGCACGGTCAGTCCAGGTTATACAGTGAGGTGTACTGGGCAGCAGAGATGTGCCTCGAGCCATCAACCCCTCCCCACAAGAAGGGGTGTCAGAATGCAATAAACATGGAACCTTGAGCAATATGAATATGAACAATAAATCCTGAAACCAGACTTGGGATCCGGATAAATATCTGCTGGAGAGACTAAAGCAGAACCCATCAGACAAGATGGAGAATTCCATGATAACAGATGGCAAGCAAAGGAATGGAAAAAACAGCTGCATGGTTTGTGGCCTAGGGATGCATAAGGCATACTGCATGCATACACAAAGTACATCACAACGGAGACCTGTGATCGTCATATCCATATGCACCTTCCACAGAGCTGCGATTCCCCACAAACGGCGGCCGCACACCCACCACATGCAGTAGGAGAGCTTGCCGGGCGTGTCGGCGTTCGTGTTGTGTGCCGGGAAGCCGATGCGGATGAGCGCCGCCTCCATGTTGGCCACGGCGGCCGGCGGCTGCACGTGCGTCAGGGTGAGGTCGCGCAGGTGGGTGTCGTCCAGGCAGACGCCGTACTCGCCGCCGGTCTCCTGCGCCAGGTGGCGCGCGATGCGCAGCTCGGCCGCCAGACCGATCACCGAGCAGCGGATCTTCTCGCGGCGCAGCATCTGCGGCGGGCAGGGTGCCGATCAGGCGCGCCCCACGCTGGCTCAAGCCCCCACCGCACCCTCCTGCACGGCGTCTGGGCAGGCCAGCCACGTCCTGGGCTGGCTCGAGCCCCCACCACACCCTCCTGCACGGAGGTCTGGCAGGCCATGCCACGTCCTGGGCTGGCTCGAGCCCCCATCACACCCTCCTGCGCGGAGTCTGGGCAGGCCAGCCGCGCCCTGGGCTGGCTCGAGCCCCCATCACACCCTCCTGCGCGGAGTCTGGGCAGGCCAGCCACGTCCTGGGCTGGCTCGAGCCCCCACCACACCCTCCTGCACGGAGTCTGGGCAGGCCAGCTGCGCCTTAGGACTGGTCGAGCCCCATAACACCCTCCTGGCGCGGGTTGGGCAGGCCCAGCCCCGTGCCTGACTGGCTCGAGCCCCCACCACACCCTCCTGCACGGAGTCTGGGCAGGCCAGCCGCGCCCTAGGCTGGCTCGAGCCCCCACCACACCCTCCTGCAGGCCAGCCTCGCTCGGCTGTAGCTCCCAGTCACACCGGGCGCAGCTGGTCGTGCAGGCAGAGGTTCGCTACGAAGTACGTCGCGTTCCGTTTAATACAACGTTGGGTTTTGCAGACGTATGAGCTCAGCTGGCTGTAGCCTTTACTCCTAAGGGAAAACGCAAACCTTACAAAATGACATGAGTTCAACTGACGTAAAACCGTGGACGTATCCACCATCGGTCAAGGCGCCGGAGTCACCGGCCGCGCGCACGTCTGGTCTCCCAGGCAGACCTCTCGGCGCCGGACTGGCCGGGCCGGCCCGGGGCGCACCTCCAGCGTGAGGTTGATGTTGCCCGGGTCGCAGGTGGTGAGGCTGGCCATAAGCACCACCACCTCTCGGCTGGCGTGGCTGGGCATGACGCGCAGCGCGCCCGCCGCCAGCTCCAGGCTGTTCATCAGCGACGGCTCGCCCACGCACGGCGACGTCGCCAGCTTGCGCAGGTGCTGTCGGCACGGGGCACAGGGTCAGCGGAGCATGCGCTGGCCGAGCCGGAGGTGGGGGCTCGCTCCCTGCCACCGGCTTAATACTCTGTACCGAGGACAGTCATCGTCTCGGAGGTAACACAAGCCAGCATGCCGAACCGAGAACTAAGCGTTTATCTGCATCCCTCATCAGCACATAATACCGCTGGACTGGACAAAAGCAGAAAGATGAACATAAAACCTCTGATTGGAATGTTTTGCTTACCTCGATTATTCTCATGGGATTTCCGCCCAGCTCGCAGGCTACGTCAGCGCGCTTGTTTTTCGTTACGATGATCCCTAGTTGGCTAATAGGATTCTGGTCGAAGAACTCTTGAACAAATCCTTCCAAGATCTGTAAAATCACGCATACCATGATCCACTCACAAGTTTTAAAGTACAAATTCGTTCAGCATGAGAAAAAAAATGCATCGCGGAAGGGGTGAGAATATACTTATTTGCAAACAAAACTTCCTGTTAATAGTGACAAATACTTGCTTCTTCCAAGCGGGCGATTTGCAACCAGCACCGTGTTCTTTGTGGAAATAAGCATGTCGTTTCCAGACACAATCTCACCTAAACTGCCTGTAAGAATGCTGATGAATAATTGTGAGCACCACGGCGCGTCCAGCGAGTCACTCCGTCCTGGCCCGTGCTCAGGAGGCGACGGGCGACAGTCCGCCTGGTACCCACCGTCAGAGTACCAGCGAGTCACTCCGTACTGGCCCGTGCCGTGGAGGCGACGGGCGACAGTCCGCCTGGTACCCACCGTCAGAGTACCAGCGAGTCACTCTCCGTACTAGGCCAGTGTCCGTGGATGGCGACGGCGAACAGTCCGATTGGCGCCGACCGCCGAACACCAGCGAGTCAACCCGTTCAGACCAGTGCCGTGGAGCCGACGGGCGACGGTCCGCCTGGTGCCCGCCGCCAGAGCACCAGCGAGTCACCCTGTCCTGATCAGTGCCGTGGAGGCGACGAGCGGAATCAGCCTGGTGCCCATCGCCAGAGGCACCACCGGCCACTCACCTTGATGCAGCACATGAGCCGAGTGGGCTTCAGGTCCTGCACGAACATGGCCTCGGATGCATCCAGAACCACGAACATGTGGCGCATGATGCCGAGGCGCACGTGGGGCCGGGACTGGTGCAGGCGGGCGCGCTTGGCGCGCGCCACCAGGTCGGCCACGGAGCTGTCCAGCAGGCCGGCCTCATCCTCCTGGATGACCTCCCTGGTGGCGGCCAGGGCGACCGGGTGAGACAGAGATGGTCGATTGCAGTATAGGTTAGGCTGATGTGTACTAATGTGTAATGTGTAAATGTGTAATGTACTAATGTGTAGATGTGATGTGTACTGATTTGTAAGTAGATTAGTACACTGGATAGTACACTGGATGAGTAGATTAAATTGCATCATGCTGCAAACTCAATGTGAGCCAAACTCCACACAATCTATAGCCCTCTCAATTGTTATCATTTTTATTGGAAAATGATGGTCCCTGACACCAACAAATGGTCCTTGACCTAATACTAGGGCACATGTGCACTGACTGACTCTTGGAGACCATTTTTAGACTCAGAAGTAAGATACATGCCTGCCCAGGCTGTTCAGATGAGTGGTTGCAGAACCATCTCATTTGCAGCCTCTGTGATGAGATCTCCACCAAATAGTAATACCCAATAAGTCAGGATATGTCTAAAAACTAGGTTTCCTGACTGTCATTTGACTTTATTGTACAGAATGATAACTGACCGACAGCCAATTTTTGAGACAGAAAATACTGAAATAGTGATGAAATATAACCCAGTGACAAATAATACAGGTCCCAAGGATTATGCAAATTAACAAGTGCATTTGTGAGGAATATCATGCACTTAGATATGACAGTAGTAATAGCCTTATTCATCAGACAAAAACCAGGAGAATGGAGGTGTAGATGTGTTGATATTTCAGCTACATGCCCTTATCAAAACAAATGGCAGAATTGAATTTACTTTGCCTTACCTTCTCTTGGAGTCTATTTTTACTTAGAGACATCTCCTTTGGAACATTATCTCAGGAAAATGTCCTTTGCTGCTGCTGTGATGTAATCACTACAAAATAGTAATAACAAAGGATCATAAAAATACTGATTAATAATACACAAATGAGCTCACTCCTGCCTTCTGTTTTGGTACAGGCAGGCTGTTGAAGTGTCAATGCATCCATATCTCCATTCTCCTCATTTTCTCTAAGAAATAAAGCTAATACCACCATCAGACCCAAAAGATGTTCAATGCAAGTCAAAATGGAGATATTTGATTTTTCTGAAGAATTGATGGCATGCTACAAAGCCCATGTTTCTCAAGTGACATTGGTACCCTTCCTCACAACCAACATGGTTGCATGAGCTGATCAAAATATTCTCCATGTAACATTTTCACTGTGAAACCCCACAGGTGACATGCATGCCCACAGCAAACAATTCTCCCCACACCAAAAAAAAACATTGTCCATTTCATGAAGTTTGCAGCATGCTTTGGAAGGTGCTCATGAAACAAAAGTTATGCAAAACACCTAATACTCACCAAGTTTTTTCATAGCCAGATTCCCAACGATATCCCTCATCTTCGCCATCATCCGCCATGGTTTCTCCTGGAAAAATCACTTGCATAAATTAACCACATATGTTCATCATACTGCCCTCTGCTCACAGATAATGTTGTGCTCCATGGCCATTCTTCAAACACTTTGAAGGTCACAAACAGTCATATGTATTGCACAGACCATGACATTACAAAGCTTCAGGCTCAGCCCTCATGCATGAAGTCTCTTGGATTGGCTAGACATCTGTTGCTGGCGGCACTGACTTCGCACATGGCCACATTGCCACAGCCAATCATTAGTTTGCCATGCTTTGAATTTATTGGAGTCAAAAACCCAGTATACCATTCAAGTGCTGCATGAAGCATCAGCAAATTGAGCTCTGATTACAATTTTGGGGAAAATTGCTGAGCCGAAATCATCTTCAGCATGGCTTCCCCACAAAAAGTACGGTCCATGGTCATTTATACATTGCAGGACCTCAAACATAAACCATGCACAGCACATACCCCTACAGCTAAAACACCTTTCATTGACACAGCCCACAATCACTGGCCTTTTTACTTTGGTACCTGTAAGGCCGACGGAGGAAAGAGCTACGCCGGTTGCAGGGTTCGTGTGCTGCCGTGCTGGGGAAATGTTGTGAGGCATCAGCTGACATTGTGACGTCACGGGAAGTGGCTTCGCATTGATCGGGGTTCTTTTGGGCCGAGTTAAGGCAATAGGCATCTGCTGGCGATATGATGTCACTGGTATTCGACTGGGTGCGTGAGGTCACTGGTTGTGAGGTTCTACGGCACATTTGGGTCAAATTTATCCGGTAAGGCATCACCTGACGATATGTCGTCACTGATATTCCATTAAACATCAGGCGCAACAGGCCTTTTTCCATATTTACCTTTCGTACCTGTCTGCTTCAAGCATTTGCGTGCCGAATAAAGGTTTGACCGAAACACCTGAATGTGTGAATATACTAATCATTACTTGATACGAGTGCACTTAGGCCCCACGGGCACGGTGTATCGCGTTCCGTGAAGTATCAGCCGGATAGCGTGACGTCACTGGTATTCGACTAAATATTGGTCGCAACAGGCCATGCTTCATTTTTATCTTCGTGGCTGTCTGTTGCAAGCGTTGGCGTGCTGAATGAAAGCTACTAAATCACTTGAGTGTGTGATGTCACTGATCATGAGTTCCACCGGTGTTTTTGGGCCCACTGAAGGCCACATGGTATCAGCTAAGGACGTCACTGCTATACGACTGATTGTGTGACGTCAATGGTCGTGGGTTTTCACGGGCTCTTTTGGACCGGCTGAATGCCGTTAGGCATCAGCTGACGACATGGCGTCACGGATATTTGACTGAACATCAGGCAACATGCCATGCCCCATCTATACCTTTAGTACCTGTCTACTGCAAGTATTCGCGTGCTGAGGGGAGGCTCTGCCGAATGACCTGTGTATGTGTGACGTCACTGATCATAAGTTGTTATGGATTTTCGGGGCCAACCAAAAGTCATAAAGCATAAGCTAACGATGTGGCGTCACTGGCATTCGACTGTGTGTGATGTCACTGGTCATGAAATTTTACGGCCTCTTTTGGGCCGACGAAAAGTCATGCGGCATTAACTGACGATGTGACGCCACTGGTGCTCGAAAAAACTTCAGGCGCGACAGGCCATGTTCCACCTTTACCTTTAGTGCCTGTCCATTGCAAGCATTGGCATGCTGAAGGAAGGCTCTGCTGAATTACCTGAGTGTGTAGCGTCACTGACCATTAATTTGTATAATCTGTTTTGAACCCACTTTAGGTCATACCACGTCAGCTGACCATATGACGTCACTGGTTTTCGACTAGACATGCGCAACAGGCCATGTTCTATCTTCACCTTTCGTACCTGTCTACTGCAAGCATTCACGCGCTATATCAAGGCGATGCTGAATCATCTGAGTGTGTGGCGCCGCTGGTCATGCGTTTTACCGGCCTTCTTGGGCCGACTTAAGGCCATTAGGCTTCAGATAACGATATGACGTCACTAGTGTTCCATTAAGCATCAGGTGCAATAAGCCATGTTTCATCTTTACCTTTCGCACTTATCTACTGCAAGTATTCGCGCCACATAAAGGCTCTGCCCAATCCCCTGAGCGTGTGGTGTAACTGGTCATGAGTTAACACGTGTTTACTCGGGCTGACTGAAGGACATCAAGCATCATCTGACGATGTGACGTCCCTGGTATTCAACTAAACACCAGGCGCGACAGGCCATGTTCGTCTTTACCTTACGTACCTGTGTATTGTGAGCACTGGCGTGCTGAAGGAAGGCTCTGTGAAATATCCTGGGATGTGTAACGTCACTGGTCATCAGTTTTTTATGGCTGTTTTGAACCCCTATAGGGTTTAAGACATCAGCTGACGACATGACGTGACTGGTATTTGACTTAACCTCAGGCGCAACAGGCCATGTTCCATCTTTAGTTTTCGTACCTGGCTACTGCAAGTATTCGTGTGCTATATGAAGGCTCTGCCGATTCGCCTGAGTATTCACCCACACTCAGGAAACTCGACAGAGCCTTCATTCAGCAGGCCAATACTTGTAATAGACAGGTACGGAAGGTAGATATGTGACGTGACCTGTTGCGATTGATGTGAAGTCGAATACCAGTGACGTCATATCATCCCGTGATGCTTCACGGGATATGATGCTTTGTGGCATTGGGCGGCCCAAGTGAATCCGTACAAACTCATGGCCAGTGACATCACACACTCAGATGATTCGGCATCGCCTTCATATAGCACGCGAATGCTTGCAGTAGACATGTAGGAAAGGTAAAGATAGAACATGGCCTGTTGCGCCTCATATTTAATGCCATACCGGTGACTTCATATCATCCGGTGATGCTTCATGGGATATGATGCCTTGTAGCCTTGGGTGGCCAAGTGACCTCTCACTCACTCATAATCAGTGACGTCACATACTCAGGTGAATCGGCAGAGCCTTCATATAGCGTGCGAATGCTTGCAGTAGCCAGGTACGAAAGGTAAAGATGGAACATGGCCTGTTGCAACTGAGGTTCAGTCAAATACCAGTCACGTCATATCGTCAGCTGATGTCTTATACCCTATAGGGGGTTCAAAACAGTCATGCAAAAACTCATGACCAGTGACACTATACACTCAGGAGATTTCACAGAGCCTTCCTCCAGCACGCCAATGCTTACAACACACAGGTACGAAAGGTAAAGACGAACATTGCCTGTCGCACCTGGTGTTAAGTTGAATACCAGTGACGTCATATCGTTAGATGATGCTTGATGTCCCTCAGTCAGCCCGAGTAAACCCGTGTAAACTCATGACCAGTTACACCATACGCTCAGGCGAATCGGCAGAGCCTTTTTGTAGTGCACGAATACTTGCAGTAGATAGGTGCCAAAGATAAAGATGAAACATGGCTTGTTGCATCTGGTCTTTAGCCGAATACCAGTGACGTCATATCGTTACCTGATGCCTAATAGCCCTAACTCAACCCAAAAGGGCCCGCAAAAATTAATGACCAGTGACGTCGCACACTCAGGTGATTCGGTAGAGCCATCATTCAGCGCGCCAATACTTTTACAGGTACGAAAGGCGAAGATGGAACATGACCTGTTACGCCTGATGTTTAGTCGTACACTATTGACATCATATCGTCAGCTGATGCATTCTACCGTATAGGGGGTACACAAGATCCTGCAAAAAGCTCTTGACGAGTGACGTCACACACTCAGATGATTCAGCATCGCCCTGATGTAGCAAATGAATGCTTGCAGTAGACAGGTACGAAAGGCAAAGATAGACCACGGCCTGTTGCGCATGATGCCTAGTCGAAAGCCAGTGGCATCGAATGGTGAGCTGATGTCTTGTGGCCTACATTGCGTTCAAAAGTATACAAATTAATGGTCAGTGACGTTACGCACTCAGGTAATTCGGCAGAGCCTTCCTTCAGCACGCCAGTGCTTGCAATGGACAGGTACCAAAGGTAAAGGTGGAGCAATGCCTGTCGCGCCTGAAGTTTATTCGAATACCAGTGACGTCACATCGTCAGCTTATGCCGCATGACTTTTCGTCGGCCCAAAAGAGGCCGTAAAATCTCGCGACCGGTGACATCACACACAGTTGAATGCCAGTGACGTCACATCGTTGCCTATATATGGCTACGTTAATATGACAACTTCGGCCCGCCGCACGCGTTCCGCGGCATGGTTGGTTGCCGCCCGCACCGGCCGTAGGTCGCCGTGCAATGTTCCTAAAAAAACGGTGCTGCTCTGAACCAAAAAAGCTAAAAACCTGTCTTTGCCATCGAAGCACGCGGATTGCATGCCCCATAGGCACCAGACATTTGGGTGCGATTGCACAGCATGCCGGTGAGGTATAAAAACTTAGGATCGCATCGCCCTCCACTGCCCCTTACCTGGGTTAGGGTTAAGAAGTCCTTAGAAAATGTCCGTAACGGTTCGTGTATCAGCAGATTGGAAATGGCCATCAGAAACTTCTGAATAAAGCTATTAAAGGCAGGCTGGTTTTGCCCTCAGGTTGAATGTCATACCTGATCCCAGGTCATTGTAATCTGTAGTAATCTCGAATTAAATCGTGTTATTACCTAAGGAACTATTTCATAGGTACTGGCTTTATCTAACACTCAGTTTCTTGTATCAGATTGGTCGATTCCCTAGAAATCGCCCACGCTTACAGCCACGGGCTGACTTCGACCTACCATAGGCCAGTGACTTTGCAAGGTTCATCTGATTGTTTTACCAAAGATCTGTTGTTCAGTTGCCTACAGCCAAGCAGTCTGGCGCAGCTTCGCCGTGCCGTTCGACATTTGTGTCGTAAAAGTCCTCGAAGGAGGGTCGAATCGACTCCACCTGGGCGCGTGTTGAGGACCAGTTGCAGATCTCGACAACCAAAGTAGCTCATAATGTGAGACAAACTGCAGGGCGCGGCGAATGACCCATTAACACCCGTGGTTAACTTTCGTGCCGGGCGGGGTTTCCCAAATATTCATCGAGCCTGTTTCTGTGGGCTACCATAAGGTGTCCACCTCTGCAAGTCCGTCTATACGAGGTTTTGACATGATGTACATAATAATAGCAGTGGATTATCTTAATGTCTTACACCGCGTTGCTCGTACCATTCCTCACAAGGCACCTCTCTGGCCCCAGTCATATGCTTCCCTGACGAACATATGAGGCAGCTCCAGCCCTCCTCAGCGCTTTTCCGATGGCACGCTTGACCGGACTCCGCATGGGCCTTCGGACGTCAAGCCCATTAATCACAAACTGACGTTTTTTGTCAACATCTTTAATTCGCAAGCAATGTGCTCGATTTCAGCCCCTTTGTAACGAAGTATTAGTCCTTTTGCAGTGGGGGGCTCGGTGTGGATGAAGTAGCCGATATGGCTCTTGTCCAGCGTAACACAGCCGACGGCTGTACAGCTGGCTGTCCTGCAACGTGGTGAGACTCTGTCTCTAGACGGGGTGTGCCAGCGTGTTGCGTTTAATAGACCCCGGTGCGGACTGTGCGCAAAAAGAGACTGGCAACGGTGAAACCAGTAAAGAACCTCAGGATGAAAATGCCATAGCTAGTCTGGTGAGACTGACTCGGCCTGTGGTCTGCGTGGTAAAGAAACGGCAGCACCTCAGGATGAAAATGTCATAGCTAGTCTGGTGAGACCTGACTCGGCCTGTGGTCTGCGTGGTAAAGAAACGGCAGCACCTCAGGATGAAAATGACATTGCTAGTCTGGTGAGATTGACTCGGCCTGTGATTTCCGTGGTAAAGAAACGACAGCACGGAGTCATTGCTCCGTAAGGCATATGCCAAG